TAAATTTATTTACTTGTTAATTGCAAATTAATTTTATTTATTATAAATTACAATAATATGTGCTAAAAAATGTATATGTCTATATGTGCAGGTTTGGGCATGGGAACACATCCCTCGTATTCGCCCATTCATGAAGAGAACGCATTTCGGCTCTTAGGCTGGTTGGCCCTTGGGTGCAAGGTAATAATAACCTTTATTTATATTTAATACTTAAGTTATCTCAATTATCAAATTTTGTAACTACAAATATTTTTTTATGTGATTTTAAAGGTGGGTGGAATCGAGGGACTTGAGGCACGTGGAGACGGGCACGACTACCATTCGAGAGCTGAGTGGCCTGAGAGAAACTATTGTAAGTTTCTTAGGTCATAATAATAATAATTATTTTATTAATTCCATTTTTTATTAACTTTATTAATAATTCTATAAATGTTTTTTTACAGTTCGATTGGGTACCCTATCAGACGTACATACACGATGGTCGGCTCCCGGACAAGTGTACACGAGACCGACATCTCTGGATGTACAATGGGTGGATCTTCTGCTGGAACATCCGAGAACCCCACCAGCCTGATAGGGTGCTCTGCCAGTTTGGGTGTCACCAGCCCATCCCCCAGACGCCGATCATTACGGTTCTGGCCGACTGGGACACCCACCAGAAAGGCCAGGGCATGACTGGGAGGGCATATACCGATTGACATGCCTTCCATTATGATCTTGGGAGGATCTGGACCGACGAGAGAGATCAGAATGTCCTCCCAAATGTACCGGTGGATCCCTTCCTACAGCCGACAAAGGGGTACATTGATTGGTATTACAGTAAGACTGTGAGACTATTTAGTGATCCTAACAACTACACGGCGATCTCACAGGACTGTTGGTTTCAACCATATGCCGACCGGGAGAAATGTCAGGTAAGTGTGGTAATTTGTGATTTTTATTATTATTGAAGTTATTATTGTTATTATTATTATTATTATTATTATTATTATTATTATTATTATTATTATTAGCTGTTCATAATAGTTATTTGAATTTTGTTTTCAGAATTCGGGTACGGAGGGGGCGTATAACACGCTATCGAACGTTCAAGACATGTTTGATACGCTACTTCCCCGAATGCAGGAAGCATTCCAGCAGACCCAAGAACTTCTGTACGCTTCTATGACTGTTGGGGGCCAGTCCGTCACATAAGGGGCGTCGTCGGGGAAAATTCTATCCAAAGAGGAGTACGCCCCACCCCAGCAGACACAGTCCCAGCGAGCGAGGCAAGACCGGCGGCCCACATTGGTGGAGTGGGTAGAGGGAGATGACGCCGTGACCGCGAACCTGCCGCTGCATTCCCCGGGAATGAAGAAGACGAAGAAGGTGATATTTTTTTACTTAACTACAAATATATATATTTGTTTGTTTTTATTTATTTTTCCGGTCGAATTACTGATTTTTTACAAAAATTAATTAATTAGGTAAAGAAGATAAAGAAGAAGAAGAAGAAGCAGTCACGCCTGGGCATACCACAACATCGTCTTCTTCGGTACAACGACCTCGGAAAGGGTCCCGAATACGCAAGCCTAGGAATGCATATACTCCTAGTTAGTTTGTGTTGTATTCTGTGATTTTGTGGATATTTTCTTTTTTTTCTTTTCTTTTTTGTACTGGATTTTGAGATATTTATTCTTGATGGTTTTGTGTACATATTTTGGGCTTCATTTTTTTTATCGGTAATTGTGGTTGACTTTTTGTATATAGTGTTTCGCGTATGCATGAATGCTAGATTATTATTTGACGAATGAATTGATATTAAAGTGATATTATTTCGTGTTCAAAATGTTAAATTAAAATTTAAAAAACCTTATTGAAGGATAAGAATAAAAATTCAGCATCGCTGGTAAACGAGTTCGTGAGCATCCAAGAGTCGAGTCCTAACTTAGAAAAAAATGTAGAACATATAAACTATAAAAAATAAATAAATAAACATGGATTCTAAGAATCCGTGTTATATCAGAGGCTCGAATCGAACTAACCACCTATATTCTTTGGTGGTTATGGAAATCTAGGAATCTTTGGAAATTCCAGAAGACATGGATGCCTGAGCAAGTGATAATATCTACAGCACAGAGAGAATGGCAAGAATTTGTTCAGTGCAGCTAGTAACATTGAAGAAGAATGATGAAGACTAGGTCCTTTGGTTCAGTTGTTTTCATGATTCTTTATGCTTACTGTATTTTCTCTTTAGGTCTGTAGTCAAGTCTGTTGAAGGGAGTTGTGTTTTCAGATGTAGCTGCTAATGTTATCAGGTTTATACTGTATTAGCTAGCTTAGTTTGGTTTGATTTTGGCTGGTTTTCTTGGCTTTGTATCTAAATCACCTTAGGGTGGTTTCTGTTGCTTAGTTTTTTGGACCATATGGGGCTATTTAGCCTCTCGGCGTGTACTGTTTATTTGTTGAAATGAATTCTATC